TGAGATCTTACAATTAGATTATTGGAATCGGTAAAATGAGTCCGATAAATAAACAAAAATACAGTAATAAAGAATAAATTAATATCTAATATAAATAATGAGATCTTACAATTAGAAAGATTATTAGAATCGGTAAAATGAGTCCGATAAACAAACAAAAATACAGTTATGAAAAATAAATTAATATTTAATATTAAATTAGAAAGATTATCGATTAGAATTTGAAAATAATATTACTTCGTTCTTATATTGATCGTATACGTTCCTTGATGTATATCGTTCGATATTAAGCACGTTGGTTGTCATGAAACGACTAGAAAAAGAAGAAGGAAAATAATACTAATAATAATAAAAAGAAGAAGAAGAAGAAGATGATGATGATGATGATGATGACGAAGACGAGTCCCTAGAAACGTTTACGAGCTGAGATTTCCTTCTCGTGGCATCATCGAGAAGAGGATGAGGAGGAAGAAGAGGAGAAGAAGAAGAAGAAGAAGAAGAAGAAGAAGAAGAAGAAGGAGGCCTTTGCTTGCTTTTACTATCTGCCTTTGCCAATGCAAAGGCCACTGCTCTAACGACGTCAGGCATTCCCAAGCCGGCAGCAAATTGCGTCCGTGCCGAGTAGTATTCTTCGTGAATGCCGAGGAACGAACGAAACGAAACGAAACGAAACGAAAGGAAACGAAACGAGATGAGAAAGAGATTGACCGAACGAGCCACTCGTCGAACTCTTTTCTTTCAACTTGACCACGCACTCAAGTCTCTTTTTTTCCAATTTCAAAATTTCGTAATCTTTCGTAAGATCCAAAATTTAAAATAAAAAAACGACACTAATCGTTGTTATCTTTTGTCCCTACGATATTATATTTTCATACGAAATAATATTAATAATAATAATATTAATAATAGTAATGAATAAATTATATTTTGGCGTGTAATCGTTTCAATACAATTATACGTATCAATTAATTATTATCGTTTCCAAAATTTAACCGTATTATTCTTAATATCATATAAAATTATCACATTTTTCTTTATTCCATCGAGAAAAATTTTCAAATGTCTATATTCATTCGAATACTAGGACTAGGTCTTAAAAAAAAAAAAGAAAATAATACAATAGAAATTTTCTTTCATAATTATTATATATCAACGTAGCACAATATTTACGTTATATATTTAACAAAAATAAAAAAAAAAAAACAGAGACAGAAATTTACATAACTTTCGTAATAATACTCGAGAGAGAAAGAAAAGAAAAAAAAAAAAGCAAAAATAGCTACCCCCAAAAGAAAAAAGAAAACCCATACAAATCAAGGATCATCTTTAAGCAGATTAAATTCCAACGAAAAAAAAGTAATATATTATACACAAAGTATATTCTATATAAAAATAGCTATAGACATATTCGATGAATCTTTTCAAGGCTTAAAGTGGGGGAGGGTCAGTTTAAAGCATCGAAAAGTTGTCGTTTGGGAAAAAAGGGGAACAACGAGAGAGAGAGAGAGAGAGAGAGAGAGAGATGGAAGATAGGAAAGTAAAAAGAAGCAAAGAAAGAGAAAAATAAAAAGGAAAAGGAAAAGGAAGGGGAAAAAAGAAGAAAATGAAAGAAAAAAAGAGGCGAGAGGAAGGAAAGCCGGCTCCCGGGATGCAGGTTTGAGAATGGCACGATAGGTCGACGAAGGTGGGTGGCATTCGGCGCGACTGTTTGAGGGAACAGGGGGACCCCTGGCGCCAGACAGCTGCCGCGTGTCTCGACCTCGCTTCGCTCTCCTTTCCTCTTTCTCCTCTACTCCTGTCTCTCGTCTCGCCACTACCCTCTCTTTCTTTCTCACTCTCTTCTTACTCACCACACTCTCTCTCTCTCTCTCTCTCTATCTCTATCTCTCTCTTTCTCTTTCTCTTTTTCCCTATACACTCATACACTCACCCAATCTCTCGCATCCTTTCTCTCTTTCTCTTACCTTTCTTACTCTCTCATATACTCGTTCACTCTCTTTCTCTTTCTCTTTTCTATACACCCATATACACTTACTCAATCTCTCTCATCCTTTCTCTCTTTCTCTTAACTTTCTTACTCTCTCTCATATACTCGTTCACTCTCTTACTGTTTCATACATTCATGTATACTTACTTACTTTCTCTCTCTATTTCTGTGTTTCTACGTTAAACAGGCATACACATACGTAATACTACCATACCTGTTAAACTCGGCTTGCTATTTTATTGATTTATTTTGGCTCTACCTTTCTCTCTCTGTTTTTCTCTTTTTCATTACCTTCCTTCCTTCCTTCCTTCCTTCCTTCCTTCGAAGTAGACGATCGATCGATATACGATGCTTTAATCTCTTTCTCTTTTTAATCCTCGACACACATACATATCATATAGTTTAATTATTATAAGATTATAGAAATTGAGAGAGAAGCTTGATACGTAAGTATC